ACACTCTTTTCCATCGGGTGTCATTAAAATATTTTTTGAAATTTTGGGATTATGAGAAATCCTCTATATATTGAAAAAACGCTTGCGCTCCCGCTTGCGGCATGAAAAATATTGACGCTTGCGCTCCGCTCGCGAGCCCTTATATTGCTATTTTTTTTTTTTTTTAAATGTTATGATAAAATGAAAAATCCAAAACTCAGACCGATGCCTGAGATGGCACCAGCCTTACCTAGGTATACTAAATCAATAAACAAAACCCAAGCTCAGACTGATGCCTGAGATGGCACCAGCCTTTACCTAGGTATACTAAAACAATAAAAAAATTAAAATCAAAACATTTTCCAGATAAAAAATAACTAGGATTTCTCAGCACAAGCTCCCTTGAAAGATGCAGCGTCGTTGAACCCAAATTTACGTTTAATAACCTAAAATTAAATTTCCAGTCGATTGGCTATCTTAGCAATAGTAGTATTAATATTTTGATCATTTTTGGATTCCTCGCAAAAAATCAGCAACAAAGGCAATCTCTGAATGTGGAGCGATCCTCAGGGTAAGCCGTGAAAAAAGAAAAAAAAATCGAGGTGTTTTCGGTGAATTTTTTCAGGGTTAAAAAGGCACAAATCGGAGTTACATTTGGTCGGAAAATTAAAAAGTGCCCGCTCTATACACGGGTTTGAAATTTCAGACCGCCGCCTTTTGATAGCGGCCGAAATTTATTTTCCACTCGCCACAGTATTCCTCGCGCGCAGCCGCCCGACACGTTAATTTCACCCTTTAAGGAAAATGCGTTCAAATTTCGTTAAAGGCTAATTCGCGTGCGCCCGTCAATAATCCGGCGTCAAATCAGCGGCCAGGGTTGCTCTTTCTGCCTATTGGGCACTCTGAGCTCACGTTCTGCCCTTTCTGAAGGTCACAGGTTGGTTTTGAGCGCGGGCGCGGCTTGTCGCAAAATCTATAAAACGTCCCAACACCAATTTATTTTGGTCCAGAAGTTGGAGAAAAATCCTGCAATTGCACTTTTTCACTCGGCGAGAGCAGAGCGAGCTGTTTGATCGCGCGTCCTGCTCTCATGAGAAAAACACGCGTATTTTGCTCGGGGCGCACGCTCGCCGATCTTCCCAGGATGATTTTCTGGCACCCCACCCAATTTCCGAGGGCAAATTTGAGATCAAGATTACCACTCGAGGTGACAAAAAATAGGTCTTCTCACTCCTTTTAAAATAATTGAAATTAATTATTTTCTCCAAGTAAATTTGTCAAGTTATATTTCATATTCAATTTTCAAAGTGCACCAAAATTTGAAGTCACGTGATGCCATCAATTAAATATCTATTTTAAAATCAGCTCCAGGGAATTTTATCGTAAAAATTTCCTGAGTTTCAGATTTTATTCTCCTTAGGAAAGTGAACGTGACACGTGATCTGATTAAGGTGATTTTCAATTAAAAAAATTAAAAAATGATAATCAAATTCAGGGAATTTATGCACCTTGAGAACCAGCACCAGAGGTCGAACCAACACACTGCACGATCCAAGGGCTGACGAAAGGGCGGTGCAGTCAGCCCCTGCGCCCGTGGTCAATTCGTAACATAAATGTTGGCCTCTGATTTTAATTTAATTTCATTGCGATTCTCTGATAACAATTTAATTTCTACTCCCACTCAAGGTCACTTGGACCAAAACGGTCTTTTCGCTCTATTTACAATTCAATTCCCTTGTCGAGACACCGATTGGGCCCTCAAGATTTGTTCGTCAAAAATTTACGGTACAAGTACTAAAATAACAAAATTCTCGCGGAATCGCTACCAACTTTGATCCAGATAAATATTTTCTTTAAAGAATAAAAGAGGAAAAGTAATTCAATTTAAAATAATGATTGCTGAAAATTTGAAATTTATAATTGTTGTGAGCGGCAAAGAGCGGAATGCCAGGTGCATTAATTAATGCTTGTTCCGCAACACGTGAGCTCAAGATAATTGTAATAAAGAAATCCGCACTTTATCCAGGAAATTAAAATGGGCGCGCTTTGATGAAGAATCGAAACGTTTTAAGCTCTTTACCGCGAATGATGTTTCGTCCATTTGGATCCAAATCGAGATTGAGCGAGCTGCATTTTTATTTTGACGAAAGCAAAATTAGGTCACGCGCAGTCACATTTAACAGTAAGCATCAGTTGATTATGTACTGAATTTGCATACAACATGCTAATTAGTTGCATCACTTTGTTCGTCTTTTGCAATTTAAAAAATTAAAAAAAGCGCGTCGACAAACAGCACAAACACCAGGGTTCGTAATTTATAATAATGCAATCAATGCTTCAAATATGAAGTTGATTAATAAACTCGATTTAATTAAATTTTCAATCAGCGCGATTTTATTTTCATTTTTGTGCTTGCCTCTCGTGAACACGTCTCTCGTCGCCGTCCAGACTTGTTCGCAATCGTTTCGGAGGTCGCAGCAGCCGCAGCCACCAGCAAGCGGAGGGAGTTTGCGTCTCTCCTGCCTCAAAATATTGCGTGGGGCCAAAATGGCCGGGGAAGAGATTTCAATCGCCGATTCAAATTTTTGGCCGAAAATCAGGGCAGGTGCGTTTTGACAGCAAAATGGAATCTTTAAATTCAAAGAATATATAATTATGAATTGCAATTTAAGTAAAAACCAATTTTTAATAAAATGAATTGATTTCAAATTTCAATGTAAGTTGAAAAAATAATAAAAATTTCAAAATTAACAAAATGGATTGTAATTAGAATGTTTATATGCATTAGAGCTGATTAAAAATTCAATATTTTCATTTACTATTCAAATTAGGACTGATATAGATGCAAACGAGGTTAGGCAACCTGCGTGACAAAAGAAAGATGCGGGTTGCCGGCCCTTGGTATCAACTTGATCAATTGTAGCCGAGAGACCGAAAAAGTAATCAAGTCCGTCAAAATTCGGCACCATGACGATTGATTCCGCCAGGGCTTTATCGTCTCTAGAGCCTTGTTTAATATTTCAATTAAAATCTACTTAAGGATAGTTAGACCAGTTAAAAGTTCTCGTTTATCAACAAAAATTAATTGATTTTTTATTTCAAAAGAAAAGTTAATTACAACACATTTATCCAAAATTGTGGTTACAGCGGTAAATTTCAATTAAATGGATTAAAATTACAATAAAGCTTGCCACAAAGCGTTTATCAGAATTCAACTTTCCTCTCGAAATTGTCCTATTTTGTTTAGCGCATCGCTCATCAAAATTTTCTATCCGCACTGCTAGCGACAGTGGTGACACCTCTACGTTTCTCCTTAACCGTAATTGCTAATCAGGTCAATTAATTTTTTTCTTTCATAAAAAAGAATTTATGCATAATATAAGAGTAGCTGATTATAAAATTAACATTGAATTTTAATACTATAATTAGGGAAGAATTTGAATGGATATAATCCACGGATTAATTTATTTAAGTTTAATTTCGTAATATATTGAAATTTTAAGAAATGTATAATTGATTATATTTCTCTTTGTATAATATGGTTTTTAAATAGAACATCTGACTAATGAGGAGGTTAAAAAATGTCATTACTTCTAATCAATCCCAAGCCATCAGAATTTCTACAAGAAAAGTTTGGCTAAGCCAATCTCTGGCATAATTAATCTGACGAAAAAGAGGCATTCTTAAATCCACTGTTGCCTCACAATGAAAAAAAATTCTCACAAAATTTTAAATGTCAAAATCCATTACAACAATCAAGTCGAAACCAGAAAGAGGCTAGGGATGATTTCAAATCGTAGGACAAAAAATTTCATTTTTAAAAAAATTAAAAATTTGTTTACCTATTAAATTAAAATATTAAAATTCAGCAACTATTTTGCACAATCATAAATAATGCAACGTTAAAAAATCAAGACTATTTCGAAAAGACAACTTGCGAGTTAGTTAGAGAACCTGGAGAGAGAGGCTAGTTGGAAATCGTGGTGCACAAAATTTTAATTTCTTAAAAATTTCAAAATTAATACAATATAAATTTAAATATTGTAATGGATATACAGCAAAAAATTTTTAATTTGCACAATTATTAATGTTACGTTGGAAAAAACTAGACTGGATAAGAAAAATTGCGAGTTGGTAATTAAGAGGCCATGGAGAGAGAGGCTAGTTTCAAGTCGTGGTGCAAGAGTGTCGAAGGAGTTCTGAAAAGCGCGAGTCCAAACACGTTTGTTCTTGTTGGCCTCATCGAGAGCTGAAAAGCGCGAGCTCTGATAAACTACAAGGCTGAGGAATGCGGTCGGGCAAAAATTCCTCTCTCCTCACCCATATCATAGTGTGTCCACCAGGAACGGGAATTTGCAGAAGTCCTGGGGATTCCCGAAAAATTTGCCTCCCCGAAGCGATTGTGCACCCATTTATTACAAGGCAGAAGTGAACCGGGAAAATCCTGGAAGCGAAATAATGAAAAATTGAGTATGAACCGAGTTTTAGGAATTTTAAATTTTTTATATTTTTCGCTGTGAATGAGAAAAAAAAACAATTTTTATGAATAAAAATTTCAAATTTTCACTGGATTCAAATAAAAACCTTATTTTTACTTAAATTATTTAGAATTTTCATTACATATATGTAAATTAAAATTAATAATAATATCCGGGACTAACTAATAACTTTTCGGGAACGTGAATTCCCAAGAGATATTGACTCAGAACTCAGCGCGGGAGTAGGTGGTAAAAGGAGAATTTTCCAGGTTATGGGATTCGTCCTCGAGAGAAAAATTTATGTAAGCTCCCGATGGACTCACTCAAACAATTAGCATCTCTGAACGGCGGGCTACGGGTTAAGCGACGGAAAGCACCTTCAGCCGCTCCCGGCCCCGAAAATCTCGCATTTGCCAGTATCGCCGCGCAATTAAATCCTTTTTCATGAAATGGGCAAACGGCAGCCCGCGTTCGCCGGCAAGGTATAAGAAATAGATAAAACGCGATTTCGCGCATAAAGAAAGAAAATTAATAAAGACTCACCAGAAAAGAGACTCGGGACGCACTTTCTTCGAAGAAAAAAATCAACAACAGCGGATCTGTTTAAAAGACCTGAGAGCAAAAACGCACGCTGTTGTCGGACCTGGGTCTCGGATTCGGAAAATGTGGTTAGAAAAGGCGGAAAAGTGGCTTGGATCCTGGAGGCTCTTGGCACGTCAGCAGCAATCGTCGCTATGAGGGATCGAAGCGCGGGCGAACGGTTTTGTGGGGCGCGCATTGCTGCTGCTGATTGGCTGGCTCCGGTCCGGTGCCAACGACGCTCGCTGATTGGTCCTGGCTCGGCAGCGCTCGGCCGACCTGGACTTTGGACTCGCGGCACGCGCTGAAATAAATCCGCCACCGCAGAGAAAACGTAAAGCAAAAGAGAATAATGAGAAAATCCAACATTCCTCTTACAACTTGCACACGAGCCGATTCTACATACATTTTCGGTTGCGTCACCACCAGATATATAATAAAATTCCCAGTTGCAATGAATTACATCTTACATATCCCAGCTTTTTTACCATCAATTTTTCATGAAATTTAATTAATTGATTCTTGATAAAATTAAACGGTTTTCCCCTTATATAAAAAACGCTGATTATATTGTAATTAAATGAAATATGAATGATATTTTGATTATGCATGCACATAAATTTCAAATTACAGAATAATTCAGTTTCACATGCGCGAGAAGTTAATTGCATATTAAGATTAACTTTGATTTATGTAGTTTTTATTTTTATGTACACATAAATAAAAAGAATAAATAAAAATCATTTTATATTAATTATAGTTTGACCATAATTTCTGTAACATCGGCAAGATGATAATTTGTATGATTAAACATTTGATCGAAAAACATTATGAAATTTCAATTTAAAGGTTAGATTAGGCTTTAAATAAAAACAAAATTATGTATTTTTTTAATTGCTTATCAGGATTGCGGAATCTTGACGATTATTAGAAAGAGAGAAACCGAGATAAACTATTGATAAAACACATATTTTTATTCTAAAAAGAGGTCAGGTATATTTTTATTGATATTAGGCTCAACGTTAGTGAAGTTGGCGCGATATCAATTCGGCTTTGGCATTTTTTAAAAGTGGAGAAGTTGGCGATATCGCCAACTTTTTTATCTTAAAAAAGGGTTATAAAAGAATGCTGATTGCGTTCTAGGGGATGCATTTGGCTATTATACAGTAACCCGTTATGCATTAGACCTCAAGTACATAAAATGTGGATTTTTCGCGATTTGAACCCTCACGGCCGGGTTCAGCATATCAGCTGTTTGAAATAACAATTATTTTCTTGATTTGATTTCCTGAATAACGAAAAAAATTACACCCCATGTATTTTTTTGTTTTTAAGAAATACAATTATTATGTCACACACATTTTCCAGAATTTTGGTTTATTAATTTAGCACTTTTTTATCAATTCATTTAATTTTTATTGTTGTTTCTTAAAATTGATTACTATTACATATTCCACTTCAATTATCATTTGAGAATTTCATTTTCTTGATATAAATTTAAAAATTAGTAAATTTAGTATTTTAATCTAAAAATAAAATTTATGAAATTTTATTAGGAAAAAATTTATAACAAGTCCGGGGCAGGAAACACATATGTATACATACATGGGTAAAATTGGGTTAAGTTAAAAAAATCCTCATTCAGTAGCATGTTTATCAAAATATTTCAGATGACACCATCAAGAAAATCTCAATCTTCTCAAAAGTGGTAAAAAAAAAAAAACAATTAAAAAAACTGGGAAATAGAAAATTCAAACCAGACTGCTACACATTGATAATTTGACTTAGAAGTTTATGAAAAAAAAACAATTAGTAGCAAACAGTAATGGGTTGCTCTGGGTGATGCTAACCTGTATAAATACATCGATTTAGAGTTAAAAATTAAATTGAATAAAATATATTCTTTTATTTGAAACTCATTTGAGTACAACTTCAACTTAACTTAGAGAAGTTTACGAAGCAATTTTCAATGTGGTGCGCGACAAAATAAAGTTAAAGTCTTTCACTTCATTTTCAAATAGTCATTAATACTAAGGACGCGATTTTTGCACTTGGCCAGGTGTACTGGGTGCCTTTCTCACCGCATAGCAAACACACACAGGAATCACTTTCGTCGTAGCACTGTTGTCGCTCAGAACTATTGCTACAGAATTGAATAATGTAAAGAAAAATGTAATGCATATTTTTAATAGAAATTTACATTTCAATTGAATTATTTTTTAAAAAAAAATCCAGATATGAAAATGGCAGGCCGGAAAGATAATGCACATAGTAAACCCCGTAAAGTTAAAAATTAGTTTCTTGTTAATTTTCACAATTTTATAAGACACAGTCTTCGTCAAAATTTTCTATTTTAAATTATTTTATGGGAAGTTTGGAAATTTTCAAGTCGATCAAAATTCAAAGTTGGATAATCAATTTACAGCGGCCAGCGATTTGTGGAAATTTTTTATATAAATATTCAATTGTTAATTAAATATTTAATTCACTAATTTTTTTAAAAATTGATAAAAAAAATGATATTCAGGTGTCATCGGCACCATAAAAATACCTTCAGGTGAATAATTAAGTTAGAAGGCCGGGTTCAGCCGCGATGTAAGGGTTGTTTTTTAAGTAAGGGTGTGTAGGAAGTAAGTTGTTGTGGGTTAGAAAGCGGCTGAACCCGGCCGTGGGGGTGTAAATCGCGAAAAACTGATATTCAGGTGTCTTCGGCACCAGAAAAATACTTTCGTTGAGTAATTAAATTAGAGGGCCGGGTTCAGCCGCGATTTAAGGGTGGTTTTCTTACGTAAGGGTGTCAAACGGGGTGAGTTAGAAAGCGGCTAAACCCGGCCGTGGGGGTGTAATTTGCGAAAAACTGATTTTTCACTGTAGTCGGCACCATAAAAATACCTTCGGGTGAATAATTAAATTGAAAGGCCGGGTTCAGCCGCGATGTAAGGATTGTTTTTTATGTAAGGGTGTCAAGAGTGTAAGTTGGGGTGGGTTAGAAAGCGGCTGAACCCGGCCGTGAGGGTGTAAATCGCGAAAAATCCATATTTAATGTACATCTAGAGGTCTAATGCATAACGGGGGTTACTTTATAATAGCCAAATGCATCCCCTAGAACGCAATCAGCATTCTTTTATAACCCTTTTTTAAGATAAAAAAAGTTGGCGATATTGCCAACTTCACTAACGTTTAGGCTCATGCAATTATTTAAAAATTACGACAAAATTGCTTTGCATTCAAGAAATTATACTCCTGATGAAACTTTACTTTGAAATATTGCTGCACAGGAATGCAGAAACTCGAGACTTAAGACAGAACACAAGATTTTCATGTACAGCAAACAACAAAATTTCATGCCGATCCTCGAGCACAAATATAGAGAAAAATTCCACCAGAAATTAGTTTTTGCTCTCTCTCGTTTGCGCTGCACAGACACGTACAGACACGAAAAGAACAAAGAACTCGTTTGGCTCCGCCAAGGATCGAAAATCCGCTTCTCAGAGATTCTGCTGCTTTCTTGCCACGTTGCCAGCGCTACTTTTATGCGCGCATTAGATTATACAAATTTTTTTCTATCATTGCATATATTATGTAATAAAAAAATAAATTATAGCGCGACTTATAGGATTGAGATACGCTTAGGAAAAATATTTAAGTTTTTACATTAAAAATAATAATGGTTTATGTTTCTTCGAAAAGGATTCTGTATAAAAATTACATCTTACATATCCCCGCTTTTTTACTATCAATTTTTCATGAAATTAATTAATTGATTCTTGATAAAATTAAACGGTTTTCCCCTTATGTAAAAAACACTGATTATATTGTAATTAAATGAAATATGAATGATATTTTGATTATGCATGCACATAAATTGCAAATTTACAGAATACAGAATTCAGTTTCACATGTGCGAGAAGTTGCATAATTAAGATTAACTTTGATTTATGTAGTTTTTATTTTTATGTACACATAAATAAAAAGATTAAATAAAAATCATTTTATATTAATTATAGTTTGACCATAATTTCTGTAACATCGGCAAGATGATTAATTTGTATGATTAAACATTTGATCGAAAAACATTATGAATTTCAATTTAAAGGTTAGATTAGGGTTAAAATAAAAACTATATTATAAATTTTTTAATTGCTTATCAGGATTGCGGAATCTTGTCGATTATTAGAAAGAGTGAAACCGAGATAAACTATTGATAAAACAAATATTTTTATTCTAAAAAGAGGTCAGGTATATTTTTATTTTTTATTGATATTAAGCTCATGTAATTATTTAAAAATTACGACAAAATTGCTTTGCATTCAAGAAATTATACTCCTGATGAAACTTTACTTTGAAATATTGCTGCACAGGAATGCAGAAACTCGAGACTTAAGACAGAACACAAGATTTTCATGTACAGCAAACAACAAAATTTCATGCCGATCCTCGAGCACAAATAGAGAAAAATTCCACCAGAAATTAGTTTTTGCTCTCTCTCGTTTGCGCTGCACAGACACGTACAGACACGAAAAGAACAAAGAACTCGTTTGGCTCCGCCAAAGATCGAAAATCCGCTTCTCAGAGATTCTGCTGCTTTCTTGCCACGTTGCCAGCGCTACTTTTATGCGCGCATTAGATTATACAAATTTTTTTCTATCATTGCATATGTAATAAAAAAATAAATTATAGCGCGACTTACAGGATTGAGATACGCTTAGGAAAAATATATAAGTTTTTACATTAAAAATAATAATGGTTTATGTTTCATCGAAAAGGATTCTGTATAAAAATTACATCTTACATATCCCCGCTTTTTTACCATCAATTTTTCATGAAATTAATTAATTGATTCTTGATAAAATTAAACGGTTTTCCCCTTATGTAAAAAACACTGATTATATTGTAATTAAATGAAATATGAATGATATTTTGATTATGCATGCACATAAATTGCAAATTTACAGAATACAGAATTCAGTTTCACATGCGCGAGAAGTTGCATATTAAGATTAACTTTGATTTATGTAGTTTTTATTTTTATGTACACATAAATAAAAAGACTAAATAAAAATCATTTTATATTAATTATAGTTTGACTATAATTTCTGTAACATCGGCAAGATTATTAATTTTTATGATTAAACATTTGATCGAAAAACATTATGAATTTCAATTTAAAGGTTAGATTAGGGTTAAAATAAAAACTATATTATATATTTTTTTAATTGCTTATCAGGATTGCGGAATCTTGTCGATTATTAGAAAGAGTGAAACCGCGAGATTAACTATTGATAAAAAACATAATTTTATTCTAAAAAGAGGTCAGGTATATTTTTATTTGTTATTGATATTAAGCTCATGTAATTATTTAAAAATTGCATTGAATTCAAGAAATTATTCTCCTGATGGAACTTTACTTTGAAATATTGCTGCACAGGAATGCAGAAACTCGAGACTTAAGACAGAACACAAGATTTTCATGTACAGAAACAACAAAATTTCATGCCGATCCTCGAGCACTAATAGAGAAAAATTCCACCAGGAATTAGTTTTTGCTCTCTCTCTCAATTGCGCTGCACAAACACGTACAGACACGAAAAGAACAAAGAACTCGTTTGGCTCCGCCAAGGATCGAAAATCCGCTCCTCAGAGATTCTGCTGCTTTCTTGCCACGTTGCCAGCGCTACTTTTTGCATTAGATTATAATTTTTTTTCTATCATTGAATATGTAATAAAAAAATAGCTTATAGCGCGACTTATAGGATTTAGGATTGAGATACGCTTAGGAAAAATATATAAGTTTTTACATTAAACATAATAATGGTTTATGTTTCTTAATCGAAAAGGATTCTGTATAAAAATTTTGATTTCCAATAAATGCATGATTATTTTTAATTAAGCCCGCAATTTAATTTGTGAGAGCAAAACTTGAAAATAAATCAATTTATGAAATTAAAATAGCAATAAATTTAACCTGCGCATTTAAATAACGTATTACATAAAGTTTTTTCTATTTTAAATGGTTTTTATCCTAAAATAATTATACCTTTCATACTTGAATTATACAACTTTTATTCACAATTATAGCATATACTCTGGCAAAATACATATAATATCATTAAATTTGGTGCCTGTATTAATTGTCCCAAGTCTCAAATTTAAGGTGGTGAAAATCGGGAGCAGTAACTATACCATTTTCTTAGTATCGGGCAAAATTATTGTGCTGATATTTAATTTGGCATGAGCCTGCTTAAGCAATGCAATTTAAAAATCTCAAATCTTAAAATTAGAGTTGATAATTTCATCTTTTACTTATGCTCTAACCATTTTGAACGAATTAAGGAATATGTTGAAGCAGGGGGCTTTGAAAAATTAAATTTAGTTATAAGCCCATTGAGAGATAAATAAGAATTTCAAAAATATGTGGTGTTAATTTAAAAATTATATCCTTTATATTTGTATTGAACGCTTAGGAGAAAAACTTTGACAATAAATTTCAAGGATTTTAAGAAATGCGCATTTGCACTCTTCGGTTTCATTGTGTGAAAATTTCAAGTATCATCTTTGCGATTGGGCTTTTCCTCGTTGCAGAAAATGGTTTTTTATTCAAAAACAAATGGAGCCATTTGTTTTTGAATAAAAAATAATTTTCTGCAACGAGGAAAAGCCCGATCGCTTCATTTCCATGATCATCTGCTCGAGTGTCAACTTCTTCAAACAAATAATATCATCTTTGCACTGCAACACAGTTTGGTCAAGCGCATAACGCTGATCATTAATCATAAAGATGAGCAGCAATAAAAATTATATTTATAAAATGTTTTATTATATAATTAAAAGAATAAAAATAAATATTTTATTATAATAATAAAATAATTTTTGAAATTTAAAAAAAATAATAATAATAAAACTATTAAAATATAATAATAAAAAATGTATTTAAAAAATTAAACTTTTTAGAATAATATGTAACTAATATTATATAAAAATATAACAAAATTTAATTTCTAACAACACACATTAAAGACTTGATTTACTTAGTACTTATTAACTGGAAGCATTTAAGAGCTCCATTGCACATTGGTATCAGTTGTACTCAGCAGCTAAAGTTTTGTAAAAATATGAACAATTATAATTAGTATATAAATATACTTTATCTCACAAAACACATTGTGAGGGGAATTTTGAAGCGTAAAAGCATCCTAATCACGTAGAATTGGATGTTTTTAGTTTTTAGCTTCTCCTGTAAAATTTCCTTGCTGCAGTTAACCCCCGACGTTCTTGCCACGCACTGTAGACCCCTCTACCCGCAACATTCAGCATGCAGTTAACGCCAGTTGCCGCTGCCACCGCGAATATTTAGACTCTAATGCCTGTATGAAATGGACTAAAAAAACTGGTTTATTACTATGTATTCTTTATTATTACAAGAGTTACCACGTTACCACTTAATTTTCATGATTTAGATGATAGAAATCTTCAGTTCAAACAAACAACTTAAATTTTGCAACTAAATTTCCACAGCAAAGTTCTTAAAGTTGTGTTTATCAGATGACAGTGTTGGGAAAAAATTGACAAATGTCTCAATAAATTTTAAGAGAGTGCAATTTGTTTTTGCACCATAAGGTCCAATTTATTAACTATTCAAAAATGATATTTTTTGCGTCATCAGGCATTAATAATATAAAAATCATAATTTGATTAAGCCGGGTTATTGAAATCTGATAAAAAAAAAAAAAATGAGAACACCACGACTCGGAACTAATTCTTTAGTATCTGTACTTCGTAGAATAGTCCTTCGGGGATACAACCAAACCGCGACCTTTCCTCGCACCTCTATACACAGTCTCAACAATGTCTATCATTTCTTGTTTGTCCTCCAGCGGCCAGTTGATCTTGTTGTTGTTGCCAGTTCCCAAATCGATCATGATGTGCTTGTTTCTGAAGAAGAACATGATAGTACACGGATCGTACAACTCATACCTGCAAAGAGAAAAATAAATAAATACATATATTAGCTTTCCTTTATTCTTACAAAAATTGCCTTTGAAATTAAAAAGAAAGCTACATTTCTTACATTTTGTTAAAATCCGGAACTTCGGTGATATCCACTAAGTAGATAACTGCAAAGTTCTTCACTTTCTCTCCAATGTTGAAAAGGACTTCGTCCATCTTCATACAGGATGGATCCCAGTCGTGGCCAAATCTTATTACCTGATAAAAAGGGAAACACCGATTTAAGGAATATGAATTTATAATTTAAAAATAAATCATTATATAATGAATGTGCACTAAATTCTACTATGTAAATGTAAAATACACTTTGACTGCTTTGACAGTTATGTTCATTACATAGATTGCTACATACATACACAGGCATGATATGTACTGTACATATATTCTCATTATGTATAAACGCCTAAACGTTATTCTGTTGAAGCAAAGCAAAAAAAAAGTAAAAAATGTACAAGAACGCCACAAAATCTTTTATGAAAAATAAAAACTTACAACAACTCTGTCCTCCTCAGATAAAATGGCTTGGTCAACTTGCCATCCGTTGTGCAAATGTGCTAACATGTACGACATTTTGACGAGTGTTTGATCTGCTGCGTTGCTTACTAATAAATTTAATAGAATTTATTCGCTTTATAATTCGAAACAAAAAAACAGTGGACGAAAAGTTTGTGATTGTGATTGTTGATGTTTCTTTTCTTTAAATGCCAGAGGGGCGTGGCACATAAATTAGTTCGGAACAATCCCGTACAGGTGAATAGCCGCAGTTTGCAGGAGGCGCTGAAGTTTGTTTTTGTTGATACTCATTTGTCTCATTTGTTGAGCATTGGTCGACTCAAGAGGTCGACTGTCGACACACGACGGCAGCGACTACGACTGACTTTCACAAGTTTGGTTCACGGCAAGGGTCACGAAAACAACCATTTTCTGGTGAGTTGGTGAAAAACCAAAATTTTTGCACACCATCTCGCTTTGAGCACAAACGTCAGATCGTTTCGGTCACTTCTTTCTTGAGACGTCCAGGAGACGTCGCTCTCTAAACTCTTCATACACACTCGGGTGAGCAGATAATCACAGAAATTACAGCCTTAATTTCGGTATTATTTATTATATTTTGCATGGTAACGAAATATTGCACCAAGAAACACAGCACAATGGAGCGAAAGTGACAAATTTTCAAAAATTCGCAAACGATTTTCCGTTATAAATTTCAAAAAAGGGAAATTCTGAGGGTATTCTTGATTGTTGGCCACATTCAGAGCTTTCAAATTGTTTTGTGAATAGGTGGGTTGGACAACGGATTTTTGTGCCCCATAAGAATCAATGTTAATTTCTGTGCCAACATCCAGCAATCATTTGTCCAATCCAAACCTGCAATTTACATTAATTTAAATTACTTTGCTTTGTCCACTATGCCGTTAAGAAAATGGCTAAATTTCAATGAGTTTGAGAATTTCCATAAAAGTGTTTTTGCATTCAATTAAAAAATTCGCGAATTTTATTTCGGATTTGAAAGGAATTCTGGGATGTAATCTTGCATAATTACTAACTATTATGATCATTAACATTATTTGGCATCATCTTTTTGCCAATAATTTGCACAAAACAAGCTTGCATGTGCCCTCAATTAATTACTTTATATGTAATTTTTTTCCAGCAATAACTGAACAATGGGTGGAAAAGGAAGAGGACGAGGTACGTTTTCAATCTTTGTTACTTTTTTAAAATCTTAAATTTTTATATCGACTATAATCAAAAACTTTATAAGAGAGATTACATCATTTTTTATCATTAGAACATATTTATTTTATTATGTTTCATGTATGTTTTAAGGTATTTTACTAATTAAAATAATTAAAAAAAAAATTTTAATTTGCAAAAAATATTATGTTGCAGTTCTATGTATTTGTAGAAATAATATTAATATTAAGGGATTCCGTCATATTTTTATTTCTTGTAGGGCGAGCCCGCGGAAGAGGGCAACCATCTGAAAACTTTGCGCCATCTCGTCCTGGTCCAGCAGAAGGCCATTTTCCTCCTATACCCCAGTTGTCACTTGGCGCTGAGGAGCCAACTCGAGCTGGCTGGGCTAGAGGAAGAGGTCGAGGAAACCAGCCTTTGATTTCCCCTAGGGAGGAGTTCTCTTCCAGTGGCCAGAGCCTTAGCTCGTCCCCGGCCACAAGCCAGACTTCATCCAGCAACCCTTCAACACCAACAGTTGCTGGATCAAGCTCTGGAAGTTCTGCTCCTAGTCCAGAGAAAAGCACTGGGCCTGTGCAGCAAGTCATCACACCCAGACTCCAGCCAAAGTTCCCAGCCAGAAATGGTTACGGAACTAAAGGACAGAAAATGATAGTGGAGACCAATCATTTTACAATTAACGTCAAAAATAAGCAAATGACAATCATTCACTATGACGTTGATATGAAGCTTGTTAGTGAAAAGGACGGCTCCACTAAAGATTGTCCCAAGAAATACTTCAAGTAATTATTTTTTTTCTTCACAAGTGTAATATTTATTAACATTTTCTTCTAATCCAGACCAGCCATTGTTGCATTCGGCAAAATAGTTTGGCCGGGGCGATATCCAGCTTTTGATGGCGTCAAAAATCTCTTCAGTTGCAAAGAGCTTATTGATGGCGAGGTTGGTTTAATTTGTTTTTAGAATTTTGTCATCTCTATGATTTTTAATATTTTTTTAGACTCAAATGGAGATTCAGGTCCAGAACAAAGAGCGTTTCACTGACACTGGTGCTCCTGAAACTGCAAAAATCAAAGTGAAAGTGAAGAGGGCCAGCGAGATCAGTCTTGCGGACATCGGAAGATATTTCCAAAATCGTGATCGGGTGCCTCAACCGCAAGCTGCCATTCAGGCCCTTGACATTGTGCTCAGGAATTCTGGCATAACTAGGTAAATCTGTTTAGTTAAAATGTGTTTCAGTTTATTGAAACTCTTGTTTTCAAATTAAGATTGCTGCAAGTGGGTCGCAGCTTCTACACTGCTCCAAAAGGAGAGGTTATCAGTTTGGGCAATGGAATGGAGCTGTGGTACGGAGTTTTTCAGAGTGCTGGATTAGGGGCCAAACAGATCTACCTTAATGTTGACGGTAATAATGCTCATATTATTGTCATTATCATCCGTGAAATTTTGAACCTGTTTCATCAGTGGCCCACAAAGGATTTCCAAAAGCCCAGTCTGTGAGAGACTTGGTGATCGATCTTGGCACAGAAGCACCAAGTTTTAACAACAAAAATCCAAGGCCATTTGATGTCGTTAACTGGGAACTAGACGTTGATAGACGTTTGGACGAAAAGTTCAGGAACTACATTAAAGGTAAGAAATTTTTTGATGTTGGATACTTTTAATTAAATTAATGTATTTAATAATTATTATTGTAATATCTGTGAGGATATTTCTAAGAAAAATAATATCACACAATTCTATTTTATTTAAAAAATCTGCTTTGTTACTTTTGACATTTCTAAATTATAACATATGTTGAATTAATAAATCAGATCTAAGCAACATTTTTGTACAATATAGGGCTGAAGGTTGAATACGAGATTCCACACATTGCCAACTCCAAGAGAGTTTATCGAGTGGTTGATGTCGTGCAAGCTGCTAGTCAGCAGAAGTATGATCTATTTCTTTTATTTATAAAATGTCCTAATATTTACTAAACGTATATCACACCTAGATTCACATTGGACATGCCTAATGGTGGTAAGCAACAGTTGACTGTGGCTGCCTATTATGAACGAGAAAAACGGTGCAGATTGCAATATCCTTATTGGCCCTGCCTCCACGTTGGAAGCAAGGATCGGCAGATCTACGTGCCTATGGAGGTAGTAATTAATAATAAACGTCGATTATTTTTATTATGAAACTCTATAACATAACAGTTGTGCAAGATTGCACCTAACCAAGTCACCATCAAAAAGCTTGACGAAGAACAGACAAGGAACATGGTTAGAAATGCTGCAACCAAGCCATACATTCGAAAGAAGAAGATCATGGATGCAGTAAATTTGATTTTTTTTTAAGTTGATGTAGTTAAGAGTTTCATGATTTATTTATAGTTTAACAGCCTGGAGCTTGCAAGAGATCCTTGCCTGGCAGAGTTTGGAATCCAGGTTAGCGGCTCAATGACTCCTGTCGATGGGAGAATTCTCAATGCCCCTGCACTTAAGTACCAAGGTGAACAGGAAGTCAGGGTTCAGAATGGCGAATGGAAGATGAACAACCAAAAATTCCAAAAGCCATGCAGAGCTATCAAAAGTTGGGCCATCGTTGATTTGTGTGGATTGCGTGAAACAAAGTATATTTGTTTTCAAATTTTGTTCATGCAACCTCAAAATCTACATTTCTAGCGACATTGCGAGCAAATTCCCTCAGTTTGCAAGAGATGTTGGAATGACTTTTGAAGGCAGACCACAGATGCTTCAACCTCAAAACAGGTTTAGAGGAAAACCTGATTTGGATAGATATTTGGAAGATGTTGCTAGAAAGGGAACTTTTGATTTGATGATCGTAGTGATCCCAGACTACATTGGAGGAGTCAGCCCATACCGTAATTTTTATAAAAAATTTCCATGCATTAAAAATTTAATTCCATTATTATTCAAGCGAGTGTCAAGCAGATCCTTGAAATGAAGTTTAAGATCCTAACACAGTGCATCAAGATGAAAACGGTCAGGAAGCTGACTCCACCCACTATTGGCAACATTCTTTTGAAGATCAATGCTAAAATGGATGGGATCAACCACAGCATCCATACCAGGAGCAAGTAATTTAAGAAAAACCAATTTGGGCATTCAGTATTACAATGATATTTTATTTTGCTTTTGCAGACCATCTTGCTTTAATGAGCCTATAATGATCATGGGTGCCGATGTGACACATCCCCCTCCTGACTCAAAGTCAAGTCCATCTGTTGCTGCCGTAAGAAATTCCGTCATTTTAAAAAACTATCTAAAAAAAGGATTATTTTAGGTGACTGCAAGCCATGATCCAGTTGCCCTGTTCCAGTACAACATGCAGTGGCGTTTACAACCTCCAAAATGCGAAGAAATTCTTGATATGGAGGAAATCACCTATCAGCATCTTCGCTACTTTGCTACCAAAACTGGATATCCGCCAAAACGAATCATCTTTTATCGAGATGGTGTCAGTGATGGCCAATTTGAAATGGTATGCGTCTTTCAAATTAAAAATAACAATTTCTCTGCAATCATCGTTGAAAGATTATACTGTTGACCAGAATTTTTTTCACATTATTTTCAGTGCCACTTTTCTTTATTAAACTTATTAACCATTTTTTATTTCATTTCAAGGTGCTGAGATGTGAGCTCGGGGCAATTCGCAGAGCCGTGAAACGATTCAAACCCGAGTACAATCCGCCCATCACTTTCCTTGTGGTGCAGAAGCGACACCACACTCGATTCTTCCCTCGAGATCGTGACCCTTTGGCTGATAGGAATGGAAATGTTCCAGCTGGATTTGTGGTCGATCAAACAATTACTCATCCACGCAACATGGACTTCTACCTTGTCAGCCACCAGAGCATCCAGGTAAAAACTGATACATTTTTAATTAATTTTACGGACAACAATTGATTGATAATGATTGTATTATCAACCAGGGAACATCTCGTCCAACAAAATACCAGATGCTATGGGATGATGCAAACATGACAGAGGATCAGGTTGAGGAACTGACCTACTATCTGTGCCACTTGTTCACCCGTTGCAATAGGAGTGTGTCGTATCCTGCACCTACCTACTACTCCCATCTGGCTGCATTCAGGGCCAAAAACTATATTGAAGGGTGAGCTTCGCTTTTATTAGTCTTGTATTATTTTAATTTACAATGTGATTAATGTGCTCCTCAGGAAACACATCAATGTGGCTGATGAACTTGCTCTGAAGTTGGAGAGCATCAAAATGAATGAGGCCATGATTGAGTTCAACAAAAAGCATCCTATGTTCTTTGTTTAGATAGATATAATTTGTTTATGCCTTTATTGTTTAATTGCTTGAGAAAAGTTCAAGCTCTAAAAACTATAAATGTAAGGAAAATATTGAAATTAAAAACATCTAGTTATCTTTCATAATTAATAAACAGATTCAGATCTTGATAAAAATGTAAATCAATGTGATTTGCTGGGTCAGGTGCTCTGTCTGCATTGAATGGGGACATAGCACCTGGCTGTAGACTGTATATTTACGTAATATGAAGGTTTGATATTTGATCTGATGTATTCGATTCAAGGGTAAAATAAAATAATAATTAACAGTAAAAATTCTGATAATATTTTATTTAATCGGCTGTATAAATAAGGTGATTTCCCAACACATTTGTGATCTTGCCGGAAGATACAGTAACTTCCTTAGTTTCCTCGTTGATCTTAAAAATGGAGTTGGGATCAATTTTCACCTTTCCAGCAAAAGGTTTTCCAAACTCCGGCATCTTTCTAGGGCCAAGTTCTGGGTCTTCGTATCGCCAAAACTGCACTTGTCCAGGTTCTAATAACAAGATTATATAATATGAGCTGCAGGGGTTGGCAGTTTAGATTATGCTTACCTTTAATGCCCCTACACAACTTGCTTAGCCTAGCAGCTAATTTGCCGACAGTGTCACCTTGCATGATTTTAAGATGTTCGATGAACAGGCCATTTTGAGGCACTGGATTTATTGCTTCTACGCTGACATAAGGATCAACAGAAAAAGTGATGAATGGCTGACCTGGACAACAGTCTTCTTTGATCTTATCAGGTGCATTGTCAGTGTAATGGACTTCAATTCCTTCTAGCTGCAATAAAAATTATGTTCAATTTATAAGATATTCCGAAGATATAATAAAATTATCAATTACATCAAGGGTATTGGCCAGGTAGACTTGATGTGTAGAGATGACCTCAATTTCACTGAAGTCAAGGGTGAGGTCAAAAGCTTTCACTCCAATCTTCTCCAATTTTTCCCGTGCTACTTGTGCAAAGGGCATTACCCGTTTCATGTACTTCTTCAGCTCTGGAAGGGCACCTAAAGCGCTTGACACAACTTTGTTGTCGGGAAGACCTTTGTGCTCCTGTAGAGTAAAAAAATATAATAATTTTTTGCAAGTTAAATCGAGCCTTACTTGGTGCAACTTTTTCATGGTTGTCAGCACCGCGCTTTGCCATGGAGGGTAGCTCTTTGCAACCCACACAACTCCTTTCGTAGGCTTCTCGACAGATTCAACAGGTGCTGCTCCTTTCCTCGGCTTTTGAAGTTGATGCATGTAGTTCTTCAAGTGCAATCGGAATGCATGAGCAGTGTCCATCAAATACGTTGATGCTTTCACTTTTGCTAGATCTACAGAGCCTTCTGCTGGCCACCTTTCTTTTACAATGCTGGATTTCTAAAACCAAAGAAAAGAATAACTGAAGTAAATTAAATTAATTTTGAAATCTGGCTCTATACCTTTCCCAAAAGCTGCCACACATGTTCTGCAACATGCGGGCAAATGGGACAGAGGAGGAGAGCCTGCACTTCAATGAATCGCAATATCAAATCCGAGTGCATTCCATCATGACTCAACTCCCTATACTTGTCCCTGGCGGCTTGCAGTTCAAAGAAGCCTGTGCGAAGGGCTTCTTTAAACAGCATGTTCTGGAAATGGTCTCTTGTTTCTGCAATCTTCAAGTTCATTTCACTGTGAAGAATATTTGTATTAATTATCAAAATGCAATAGATTTATAAATGTCTACCTAGCAAATACCAGGTCGTTAAAAGTATCTGCCTTCCCTGTTCTAAAGGATGCCTTGCTCTCCAGCACCTCTTTCACCCATTCAATGAATGTGAAGAGGCGAAGAATTCCTAGAATTTTTTTATTGAATATGAAAATGCAAAATTTAAAATCATTTTATTTATCTTTACCTGCATCAGCAGTACTCTCCACAAAGTTTGCATCCTCCACAGAGTCACCAGAATCGGCAAGACAAAGTCTCATGCCATCGGCAGAGAACTTTTGAACTGCGTCAGCCAAAGTAAGGAAATTTCCCTCTGATTTGGACATCTAGTAACCGATTTTAATTTTAATGCAAAATCATTTTTTCTTTCAACAGGAACTTACTTTGGAAGAGTTCAGCAGAAGATGGCCATTGGCTCGGATTCCTTTAGGCCATTTGCTCTCATCGTCGGACCACATTGCGCAGTGGTTGTAAATCAAGTAGGTCAAGTGGTTTTGAATCAAATCTTTGCCAGAGCAACGCAGATCCAGTGGGTACCAGTATTCAAACTCTTTTTTCATTGCATCTAGAGTGCCTGAAGGGATGGTCGTTTTTGGCTTCTTTGCCTTCTTGAAAAAGATGTAGTCCCAAATCTCAGGTGTCATTTGGTCAGGCCTGAAAAATATTGCAATACATGAAAAAAGCTTATTTTAAATTTAATATAAAAATCTCACTTGATATTGTATTGGTTGCCCTCTTTTCCAGTGAAAGTGCCTCCCTGCAGAAAGTGGGCTACTGTATAATAGGCCATATAAATTGTAGAGTCAGAGAGAGACTCAATGAGCCACTGCTCGTCCCAAGGTAGCTTTGTACCTAACAGAATTAAAAAAAAAATTGTGGGAAAACTGGACGATTTAACAATTGGGATGTCTAACCAAGGCCATATGTCCTTGAGCAGGCGTATTCGTGCAGCCAATTGAGTGTGAACTGGAAGTTTCGCCTCACTTCATCATGGTACGTATTAACACCTTCCAAAGCTTTAAGGGCCTGTGCCTTCCATGTTTCCTCTCCATAGTTCAAGTACCACTGGTTGCAAAGCGCCACTACGCACTCCTCTCCAGACCTTTTAGTTTAAAATTTAGTTGAATACATACAAATTTATATAAAACTTAAATAACCACCTTGACATGATCAATTTTTCTGGCTCCATGTAAATGAATGCTTCATTGTTGTCAACAAGTTTCTTCTGCAACAGTTTCTTGATATCTTGGACTTTTTGTCCTTTGAACTCACCGATGATCATAACCTATGAAGTTTGAAATATTATTTATAATTAAATCAAATTAAAATAAATTTACCCCATCATAGAATCCTTTCAAGTAAACCATCTCCTTGGCAGTTTGAAGTTTTTCTTTGTCATTTTGGCTCTGAATTTTCAGCTGCTCATACACAGCCACTGCACTCAGTGTGCCAAAATCTGGTACATCAATGATAGGAATCTATTTGAAAAAAATTGAATAATTGTTTAGAAATAAATAAATAAAATGTTTTTATATTTTCTTTTCTTAGAGTAAAGTCTTGCGCACGCCTAATAAATCAAAATGATTAGAGAGAAAAAATGACAACTTACAGGCTCAAATGGCAGAACCATGTCATCCTTGATACCATACTTCTCCCTCAAAGGCTGTTTTTTCTTCAAATCTTGGAGAGCTGCATAATCATCTGGTGAATCGGAAGGAACGCTCGTTACAATACCGGTGCCTTTGTCTTCCTTGATAGTCAACATTGGCAAGGCAAAAATCTTTGGCAGAGATGTCAAAGGAGCCGAAAGAGCCACTCCAAGGATGTCCTATTTTGCATTTAAATTTTTTTATCTGTTTTAAAACTACTAAAAAACACACACCTGTCCAATTAGCTGTAGTTTGACATTTATTTCACCATCTTTGTCAAAGAATCCTTGGTATGCCATATTGCGGGCAGCCCTCTCAGTGCTAACGAGGACTTCTCCACCTTTGGTAAGGCTAGCGATGTACTTCATGTCGGGGCGCACCCAGCAATTTGTTTGGCCGTACATGGTTTCTGGACGAAGAGTTGCAGCAACCAAGAAGATTGGGAATTTTGATAGAGACCTAAATATTTGAGGAAGGAAATTATCAAGGGCTTTTTGAATTAATAATATTTTACTTGAGCTTCTCAGGGTAAGGTTCTTGGACTTTCATCTTGATCAAAGTGTACTCCTGAGGACCAACGCCTTCTCCAGAGCTGCGATCGTGGTCCATACAAGGCTGTCCATCACGAGGAGAAAAAATAGTGTATCGTTTTCCGTATTGAATTTTTCCCTTCTCCTTCAGCCGAATGAATTGCCATCTCACAAATGAATCATAGTATGGATTTGCATCTGTGGTGATGAAACTTCTCCGCCAGTCGACCTATAACCACATTTGAAATTTGTGGAAAATTTTTAATCAATCAACTCCGTACATGGATGCCAATGGACTTCAAGTCACTGACTGCCAAAGGAGGAAAATACTCCAGCCAATGAAGAGGATCAGCAAACTTCTTGATCTCGTCATCCTGGAGCCCTAAACTCTGCATGATTTGCCACTGGAATTTTGCAGTTCCAGCCTTGGCAAGCACCTTGCTCTTCTTGCCCTTACTTTTGTCCTTGATAACGGGCTCCGAAGAGGTGTCGGCAACCTCGACGACCGCTTCTCCGGTTGGGAAAACTGGAGGGCAACCGTAAGTCTCCATCTCTCGCTTGAGCTTGTCAGCACAGGCCTTGATAGGCATTCCAGTGCAGTGCAGACCGAACGGAAAGAGGACCTTTTTGCCGAGCATTCTTTGGAATCGAACTGCAAACTGGACGTTTTGCGCTATTATAGTTAAATTATTAACCAACTAAAAAAAGTAAAAAACCTCGCATTTTGACATGGAAAAAGTGTGCCCCAGATGCAAGCGACCGTTCATGTATGGATAAGGGAAAGTAACAAAGAACTTCTCGTCGTTGTTCTTCTTGGGTTTGTCTGGAGCGTTTTCCTCGTTGATTTTCTCGACCTCCCATTTCTCCTGAATTTCCTTCTCAATTTTCTGCAGATACTGCACTTTAAAAGTGCCCTTCCGATCAGCACCAGGTGCTGCCTGAAAAATTTTAAAAGGTCAAAATTCTTAAAAAATTAAGACCGACACAGGCTGGCGATTTTTTGTTGCTCATAATAATTTTGCCAAAGAAATGTGGTAACAAATTTTTTTAAATCATTAATAAATAATTACCATATTAACTTTCAATTGATCGGGTCCCTTGCCTCAAAATGATTTGAAATCGTGAGGAAAAGTTGCAGCAAAAAATCTTTGAAAATGATCAAGCCCGACAAGGCAAAAATCCACGACGGATTCCCGACACGTGTTGTTTTTGTCACTGCGGCTCCGGTGGCGCTAGTGTCGCTTTTCTCCATTCTCCATCCATGTTTGTTGAGCCTCGTGTAAAAACAACCACGTGTGTTTCTGGCCTTTAATCAACGCCGCAGTCCCTTTTTTCGAAAACTGGTCTTCTTTTTGTTATTTTTGAGAGTATTTAAAGTCGCTAATTGAAATTAGCATATTCTTCAGCCTTTCATCATGGTGAACCGAAAGAAAAAGGTGAGCACGGACAGGAAAACTGCTGCAAAAAAATGCTCGTCATATTATCCAGAAAATTATCAATTTTTGGAAATGTTTTGTACGCAATTATATTATATGAACTCCAATATTTTTTTACAGTATGAGGCAGGTGCGGCCCAAAGATATATTACCAGAAAATCTGCAATGAAGAAGCTCCAGCTCACACTGAAGGACTTCAGGAAACTGTGCATCCTGAAAGGAATCTACCCCCGAGAGCCATCCAACAGAAGAAAGGCCCAAAAGGGAAAGACGGGCATCAAGACTTTGTATCACGCAAAGGATATCAAGTTTCTCAGTCATGAGCCATTGATTTGGAAGCTGAGAGAATTCAAGGTTTGAAAGTTGATTAAAATCAAATAAAATAATTTGTTTTAACATAATCTGATTTGGAGCTTAGATCTTTGCAAAGAGAATGGGCACTGCCAGAGCAACAAAGAATTTTGAGAAAATCAGGCAGTATCTTGAAAGTCGTCCTCACCTCAAAGTGGACCACATAGTAAAAGAGAGGTATAAATTCCAACCAAATCATTAAATTTTTTATTCCAATTTGTTGTGTGTCGCAGGTATCCAACATTTATTGATGCCGTACGTGACATGGATGACTGCCTGACGCTTTGCTTCATGTTCAGCACGTTCCCTAGCATTAAACATGTCAGGCGAGACTTCTCATCTCTCTGCCGACGTCTTACTGTGGAGTTCATGCACTATGTGATGGCTGCCAGGGCTCTGCGCAAAGTTTTTATTTCCATCAAAGGCTACTACTTCCAAGCTGACATCAGTGGCCAGACAGTTACATGGATAGTCCCCCATGTATTCCCTTTCAAGGTTTTTCAGTCTTAAAATTTGCTAATTAATTTACTAATTTAAATGCTTTTATTTAGCCCGAGTCTAAGGACGATGTCGACTTCAAGATTATGGCCTCCTTTGTGGAGTTCTACACTGTTATGTTGGGCTTTATCAATTTCAAGCTCTACCACTCCTTGAATCTTTACTACCCTCCAAAATTCCCAGCCTCATCAAGTATGTTTTAGTTTTATTCATTAATAGCTGTCTTATTAAACATGATTGTTCAGAGGATGCCGAAAGCAAGATCCTTGTGGACCAAGAAGCCTTTGTATCGGAAAGGATTGCTGCCCTGAACTTGAACTTACTCAAGTCTGATGGCACTTCTAATGAGTATGTTGAAGAGGAGTTTGAAATGGATGACATCCCTCTGGTTGGTGTTGCAAAAATTATTCTTCTTGTACTTCCAATTATTACTTTTTTCTGCTAAGATTGATGATCCGGATAAAATTGCTGAGATCCGAGAGGAGCGGGAAAAGGTCAAGAGACTTAAAACCCTGTTCAAAGGCTTGAAGGTCTTTGTTAATCGAGAAGTTCCAAGGGAGCCAGTTGTATTTGTGCTAAGATGCTTTGGCGCCGAAGTATCCTGGGACCCCCTTCTCTTTGTCGGCTCTACGTTCGATGAACATGACACTAAAATCACCCATCAAATCATTGACAGACCCTCGCTCGAGAGATCGTATCTTTCCAGGTATGATTATATTATAACATTTAGAATTTAAACAACAATTTTAATAAAAAAAAAAAAAAAAAAAAAATACTTTGGAGCCAATTCACAACAAAATAATTTGCTGTTCCTCAGGTACTATGTGCAGCCGCAATGGGTGTTTGATTGTGTTAATGCTCGTAAACTGCTTCCTGAGGTTGATTATTTGATGGGCAAGACTCTTCCTCCTCACTTATCGCCATTCACAACTGCTAGGGAAGGCCAGTATCAGCCACCAGAAGAACAGGCATTGAGGGAAGGTGTCCCTCTAAAACCGGAAGGTTAGTCTTTGCTCAAGTCCTGACTGACATTTTATGCATGATATCAGCATTTTTCTGTCAAACTAATTATTTATTTATGGGTTGTTATATTATAAAAAGAGGTTAAAAAAGAAATTAAAATAAACAAGTCTCACTATGTAGAAGCTGAGAGTGAGGAAGGCGCGTCGGAGGATGAGGAAGAAAATAGCGAAGATAATGGAAGTGAAGATGCCACATCAGAAGAGGAATCTGGTGAAGAGGACGAGGCTGGTGATTCGGAGGAGGAAATATCTTCAAAAGATAAAAAAGTAAGCATTTGCAGAATAAATATTAATATTTTATTCATCATAAAATAGTTTTTTATTAATATCAGCAATTGGTAAAACTAATTCTCATTAATGCTTTTAGGTTAAAGAAATGGCTGTCATTGCTGGTGAGGTGACAAAAGAAAATCCACGACAGAAGCAGATAGATGAGGCGGCACAGCTCCGACTGCGTGAACGCATGATTGCTCGCAAGCACAGGAAGCTGTACAGAAGCATGATGAAGGGACGTAGAAAGAGGGAGCAGGAAGTAAATCTTTTAAAGAAGAAACGAAAGGTTATTGAAGAGGAATCCAAGAAGGAGAAGAAAACAAAAAAGAAGCAGGCAGCAGCTTCGTAAGTTTAAATAAACAATCTTTATCTATCAGATTTAAAATCATTTTATTTTTTACTGAACAACCATAGCCTCAAACAGTAATAAGTTAATTTTTATATTCCGGTGGCCAATGCCATCTATATAGCATAAGATAATTTAAAACTTCATTGCCTCGTAAATCTCAAAATTTTTGTTAACTTCAAGTCGGTTAGGGACAAAAAAATGAAACTGCAGTGGTTTTTATTTTTCAAATATTTCTAATAATGTATTTTTTGTTCTTTAACATGGACATTGCAAATGCTTTAGGTTAGGTCTATTTACAATGCAAATTATTAGTTGTTCTTAATGATTAGCACATTATAGTGTCTACTCTATACACATCATCGTGGCGCGTCTCAAATAAATTATTACGTTCATTATAGGGAAGGAATTTTATGCCACAATTGGCACCACTATTATTTTCATATATTTTTTTTTCAGTTGTTCACTGTCTTGAGACAAAAATGATTTCATTTGCTCACTAAATACACGGAGTGTGTTTTTACCTCTTGTTACATGACACAATAATTATAATATCTTTACACAAGTATTGCTCGTTTGGCTCTCACCAGTAATCAAAGACCCCCTCACGAGAAAATTAGAGATATTTTCACTCTTTTGACATTTCTTATACAAATCATGCAGTCTCATTTGTAATAATCATCATCAGATCCCCCGAGAAAAAATATCATTATACTTTGAAAAGGTGAAAACAATAATTAAAATCTTGAGTTATCCGTACATTAGTTTGATTTTCATCGATCGCGCCATTTCTCCAATGCTTTTTGTTAATCAATGCAACTAGCATTTCGGTCTAAGTGCCTTTGGGGGGACTATCAAGGTTCCGATTATTCGCAACAAACAATGCGTTTATCATCTTTTTTCTTCTTAAATCTGCGCGCAATCGGAAATTCTGAGAGATGAAAGTCTACACCGTTCTAGTTTCGAGATTCCAATAAAAGAGAGCGTGTGAGATTGATGTACTAACATCCTAAATCCGCATGATTCATATTTTTGTGGAACATCACGTTCCTTTCGTTTTTATCCCGAAGCAAAAGTTACAGCCAAGAAACGCAAAATACAGAACAAACGTAACCCAATAATCTTTCTAAGTAAAAAAATGCTGACTTTGAGAAATAGATAGAGCATTAAACACTTTTAAAAAATAATAAAAATCGCGTACATTTTGCTTTTTTTTTACAGTTCAGTTTTCGTAAAATCACAGATACAAAAAAGATGCAGAAGATATTTTCCATCCGTCGTGCGTGTGTGAGAGAGACAAGAGAGTTCGCTCACGCGGTGCCGGCCGCACACTTGGCCCGGCGCCGAGACAAGATACCGAACATGCGTGTATCAACGGAATTGCAGTCTTTTACAAAGTCCACAAGTAGCAATGGTGTCTACCCTGTTTCACGTGCAGAGAAGTAGGAAGAGCGGCTTCTCGGGTCGCGCGCACGTCTCCACCGTCGATCGTTAGAAAAAGTCTCACTGAAAACTCTTGAAAAACCGTGAGCGTCCGTTTAAGCTCTAACTAGAGTATCACTTTTCTTTCTTTGAATTTCTTCCGGCGGCTCACGCGTCGTGGTGCGAACGCGAGCGTCTGCTCTTGCGTCGCTTGCGCTTGCCGCCGGCCTCCCTCTGGAAGATGACGTTGGATGGGTCGTCGGCCAGTTGCGGGTACTTGTGGATGCTGTGCGCCTCGACGCCTTCGTAGCCGTCCACCGAGCCGTGGCTCAGCAGCTCGGATCGCTCCTCCTCGGTCCAGTCGATGCGTCCGGGGAAGCCGAGGCTCAACAGCTGCTTTTCAGTCTCCCAGGCGTGCTCGACGGCCCTCTTGTGGGCGTGTCTGAGCACCCTGTGCCTCTCCTGGGCCGGATCGGCGCCGTACCGAATGTAAATGGCGGCGTCGGCGTTGTGGACGCGCAGCTCGGGACTGCCGCCGTGCTCGACTTCGTGCGTGGAGACGTTGAAGAGGCCGCCCAGTCGGCGCAGCTCCTCCTGGTCGTCGCGCATCTTCAGCGCGTTGTCTTTGACGAAATAAAACACTGCTTGGTCGTGGTTGCTCAGCCGCACGTCCAGCAGGTGCGAGTTGTTGAACACAGACGAGACGACGTCCTGGATGGGTCCGTTGACGCCCTCGACGATGCTCACCAGGGCGCGGCCGCCGACACGAGAGATCATGAGGCCTTCGCCGAAAACGCCCTTGCGAGACGCAACGCGCGGCAGCAGGTTTCGCGTCTTGGGCTCCAATTTGAGCAGAGGTTTGGGAATGAAACCGAGCTCCTGGAACTGCTCGTTGATCTTTTCGGCAATGCATTGCAGACCAGAGATGACGCCGAATTGCGGCATCAGTTGCGACGAAGTCACCATCGCGGTTGGCCTGTAGACGGAGCGGGAGGAATAGGCAGAGCCCATCATGAGCGAGACGTCGTAGCCGTACAGTTGCAGCCAACTGGCCAAATCTGAGAACATAGAAAAAAATGATTTGTAGTAATTATTTTTAAATTTTATTATAAAAAAATGTTAAAATGCAACTATAGGCAACCTGCTTCACACCCTTGTTTAGCAAATTGCATGCTCTGAATTATGCAGGCGTTAACCATTTTATTATTATATGTTTTTTTTATTCTTCTTAAAATTCTATCCCAAAAATTTTAAACTTTTTTAATGCACTTACCAGTCATGTATCTCAAAGGCGTTCCGCCGTTAGTGGGGTCATTATTGTTGAATCTGTAGATGAACACGTCAGTTGGCGTTGTCAGCTTGTTTGCCAAATCCTCCCAGGCCGGGGTCATCCACTGGCCGATGACTGGGTCGTACAGGCGTCGTCTGATGTACACCAATCCAGTCTTGGCGTCAAGAATGCCTCCGTGGAAGTCAACGGGCAGGAAGAAGTCAGGTTTGGTGTCTTTGATGACTTTGCCGAAAGGCGTGCGAGTGATCTGTTTGACCAGATTGCCGGCCGTGTCGAAAACGGCCACAGGAGAGCCGTTTTGGTCCGTGGCCACGTAGTAACGCTTGTCGGTCTCGACGGCGATCAACACTTGCCGCTCATCGTACAAAAGTCTGGTGGTTTTGCTCGTCTTGGGGAAGTGCACGTGCGTGACCAGGTCCTCGGCACTCGGGTTGGCATAGAAGAACTGGGTCACGTCGCCCTTGTCGTCGCGCACGGCAAGAAGTCGGCCGCGTTCGTCATAATGGTACCAGGTTTGGAACTTGCCCTTTTCAACGGCGTGCACCAGGAAGCCGCGCGAGGTGTATCGGTACTTCTGCTCACCTCGACGCACCACGAAACCACGTCCGTCGTAGCTGCAGAATTCGACATCTCCAAATTGAACCACGCGGTCGCCGCTGTCATAGCCAAGCGAGATTTTGTTTCCGTTATCAATGGCGCCAATCACGTTACCGTTCTCATCATAGACAAACTTCCAGTTGCTGTCACCCGCCACTTCGAGAAGGTGTCCGTCGCTGTTGTACTCGAATTTATCTGCCAAGTTTCGTCGGCCAATGGTCACCTTTTGGCCGCTGATTCGACTGCGCTTGTCATATTCCAGTTCCAACCTGTAAACATCAACATGCTTGATGTTGATCAGGAAGTACTTAAGACGGCCGTGCGAGTCCCATTCCGTGATGGTGAAGAATTGCTTGCTTGTGTCCTGCGTCACCGACTTGTTGAATGTGTTCTTGTATATTCTCAGGTCGCTCACGCCCTCCAGCATGCCAAGGTTTTGGTTGTACTTGAGCTTCAAGGGCGGCAGGTCCTTTCCATTGATCTCGGCCTCGATGCTCGAGACTCGAGCGTTGCCGTCATACTGGTATTTGAAGTGCGCATTGGCCAGGTCATTCTTTCCACCGCCAAACTTGAGGCGCTCCTCTTTGAGAATGCCAGCGTGGTGGCGGTATTCTTGCTTCAGCTCGTAGCCAGGCTCGGTCACAGTGGCTGATTTGACCAGTCCAGTGGTGTCTTGGTAGGCGTATTGAGTGGACGACAGGCCGGCCAGGATGTTCTCCAACTTGCCAGTGTCATCGTAGGCGTAGACAACCTTGCCTGCTTGGTGTGGGTAGATCTTTGCCAAAATTTGACTGTTGTCATTGTAGAGGATTTCGTACGGGTGGCGGTTCATTGGCGAGAAGTACTGATATTTGAAGAAGCCGAGTGACGTCTGCAGGGCGAAGGAGTGGATGTGGCCTCTGGGTGTGGTGAGCGACTGCAAGGCGCCTCCCTCGTCATACTGCAGGAAGTAGTCACTACCTCTTGGCGTTGTTACTTTCAAGGGCTAAAAAGGAGGAAAAAATTAATCTTGTTTACATATAAGAATAATTAAAAAAATCATTATGTAAAAAAATTTCAAATTCAAAACATAAAATTTGGAAATTAATTTTTACTTTAAGAAGATTAAAATGTTTTTAATAATCTTTGAATTTACCAGGCTGCTGAACATATCCTTGAAAGAATAGGTAATAGCAGTGCCATCACCATAGCGAATCTCAAATAGGCGCCCAGCTCTGTCAAAGCCATAAGTTTCAGACAGATCGCCCCGTTTCCAGCTTGACAGTCTGCTGAATCGATCGTATTCAAGCTCAACTCCATCAAACACTCCATTGCGGCTGAAAAATTAAAGTAATTAATTTAAACCATTTAAACGCTTTAATTTCTATCAATATTTTAATTTACTCTTTTGCTACAAATAATTTATTAATAAATTTAATCAATTAAAAATTATTTACCTGGGACCCCATTTAACAGGGCGTGCTAGTCTATCATAAGTGATATTGAGGAGCTCCACTCGATCGTCCATGAAAACAGCAACGGTGCCAGTCCCTCGGTCATACTCCAATGTGAGCAGATTCTCGCCGTTTACTCTGAGCTTCCTTCCAATCTGACCGATAGCTTTGTTCTTGCCCTTGCCCTCTCTTCTCAAGAAATAGCGCCACTCAAATCTGTTGGCCAAATCTCCGTCGATTTCAGTCTTCTGCTTGGCAGGAACGGGGAAACTCTCGCCCAAAACTGGGTCAATATCTGACAAAACCGTGTAAGCTGTGGTTTCGGTGCTGATCTTGTGTTTCCAGGGTGTCTCGCTGGTCACACTTCCGTCAGCCAAGAGGGTGGTGATGTGAGTCTCAGACTCACCAAACTTTTTAGAAACGCTTGGCCCAGCAATCAGCAAGGAAACGGGTTTGAGGTCACCTTGCTTGACCTTAACCGTGGCGCCAATTGTGCTTAGGTCAAAGGAAAGAGCAATGACTTGTCCAGTTGGAGTGACAGCTGAAGTGAGACGGCCAAATATGTCATAATTGTAGACGTAGCTGCGTCCTGTGCTGTCCAGTTTGGTTTTCAGCAGACCTGTGGATCCATGATAGTCAAAGGTCACATTGTAGTTGTCTGGAGTGCCCAGTTCCTGCAGCATCCTCATTCTGGACATGCGAAGGCGGCACTTCTGGCCCTTGGTGTTCTCGATCGAGTTAACATTGCTGGCGTAGTCTCTGAGCAAGAAGACTTTGTTTCCTGCCGCGTCTGTGACTGTGCTCAGTTTTCCATTGCTCGTGTTCACATTGTAAGCAAAGAGGTAGATGGTCTCGCCTGTCAAAATGTTCTTTGTTGAAGTGTGCTGACCAAATCGGTTGAAAATATAAATCTCCTGCGTCTCTGGTGAATAAATTTCATATTCGCGACTTGCGTTTGCTTCGGGCAGGCTGGCGGTCACTGATCTGATGCGATAATTTGCCTGGTCGCTGATGTGCAGGATTCCGTCAGGAGTGACCGTAATGGACGAAATGGTGTTGAACTTGGAGGTGGCAGCAAGGAAATGGTCTTCGTCGAAACAACCGCAGCCTCGGTCCAGGCAGTTGCATTTGGACTCGGCGCCTGCAAAGTGCTGAATTTTTCCATCCGTACCAATGACCCTGACTCTGTTAATTCTCTGCGAGTCACTTTCAGCCACGTAGAGGTCTCCATTTGGTGCAAAAGCAATGCTCTGCGGCATGACTAAAGTTGCTCCGGTGGCCAGGTCTGAATTGTGCCCTCTCGAGGGTGAGTTGCAGTGCAGAGGTCTTCCTGCAACAACTTTTACTCTGCCATCAAGAGTCAACTGGAGGATCATGTGGTCGTCAATAATGTGCAGGGTGTTGTCCAGTGGGTTTATGGTCAGCTCGGTTGGCCACCTTAGATGCACCTCCTCCACTTTCAAAGTGCCCTTGCAGGGAATTGGCTTCCAGTGAGATTTGTGCATGTGATTGCCGATGACCGTGGTCACAATTCCATCTCTGTCCACCATCCTGATGTTGGTTCCGTCAGCAAAGTAAATCACGTTGTCAGCCGAAACAGCAACTCCCTTCGGATAAGCCAACTTTGCGTCTCTAGCTAGAGCGCCGTCTCCGCAGTGGGCCTCGTCCCCTGGCAAGCACCGTTCACCACTGCCAACTGCAGTCTCCCAGTTTCTGTCAGGGTCGCTGAAGTCGTCAATGTTGCGTACCTTTATGATTTGGTGTGACTCGGGGTCTGATATGTACAGAGTATTGTCCATAGGACTCAGCGCCAGGTGATATCTGTATGAAACTCTGGTGGCGTTGAGACGAACAACTGTCCGAACAGTGCCATCAATCATAATGCGCCTGATCAGGTTAAAATCGCCGACAAATATTGAGCCATCAGGAGCATAGGCCAGTGCCACAGGGGCCAAAAGTCTCTGCTTGGAGGCAGGGCCTTCGCAGTCAGTGCAATCAAGGGCCCTCTGGTGGCCATTGCCCATCGTAGTCAAAATTACTCTTGGCTTGTGCTTCAGGTAAATGTTTGAGCCGTCACCCTTTTGCAGGATTCCCTCGTGGAAGTTGTACCTGTGATGGATATCCAGGTTCCAACCACCAACTTCAGAAATGCTCATGTCGTGGCCGCTGAGCTTCGTAGTCTGCACGTCCCAAATGATATCCCGACAGTCATTGTACTCATATCCAACTTTGACCATGGCGGTGGTGACTCCGTAAACTCTTTGCCGGTAGACATTTAGTCTGTTCCAGGAGTAGGTGAATTTTATATCAGGGTCAGCTTCAAAAGTCTTTTCGAACAAGATGCCTTCGATTGTGATTCTCAAATGGACAAGCTTGAGAGATGTTGGCACCTTGCTTGGTGTGAGCTGCAGTTGGATGGTCGAGAGGTAGCCAGATGCCCTTGAGCTGTGGTACACCAAATTCAGTCCAGTTCCAGGGATTTGAAGGCTGTCCTGAACCACCTGGTGAGCAAATGATATTTTAAAAAAAAAATCAATTATCAAAAGAAAAAAATGGTTTGCAAATTGATAAAATAAATGTTGAGATTATATTATGAAAAATGTTAAATTACCTGTGATTCGGCAAGGATGGCACTCTTGTCAGGGCAGGCGCCTTGGAAGCCATGCTTCCAGGTAGCAAGGACAACAGGCTTCATTAGGTCGTAGTCATGGTCATCACATGACTGTGGCAACGGAGCAATCGCTTTGTCTTCTGCCATTCCCATTTTCACAATGTTGATGATCACAACCTGATAATTATAGAATTTATTAAAATATATTCGACACTTGGAATTTTTTGAAAATATACCTCATTCCATGGCACATTCACAATTTGAGTTTGGGGCCGGAATGGGCTCCTTCCGAATTGCAGAGTAACTGCACCGCCACCGTTTACCAAAAGGTCAAACCAGCCATCTTCTCGGGTCAAAGTAAAACCTTCCAAATGCAGACTGGTACTGACCCTGACGCCTATCAGGCCCATTCCTGAAGAAGTCACTACTCTTCCGCGGATTACAGCAGTTCGGCTGAAAATTAAAAAGTAACTCAGCACCTAAATTTTGTAAATAGCTTTGAAAAGCACACATATTATCATTATAATATATGAAGCAATCAATGCAGCACAAATGAAGACAAAACGCTTGAAGGAAGATTAAAGAATTAGTCGCACAGAAAATTTGGCCATATCAATGGGTTTCAGACAAACACACACTATTCAAAAGCACAAACAGATCCCAAAGTAAGAAATAAGAACTTCCTTGACTATTAAAAAAACTCTAGGGTTCTACAAAAAAATTTAATATTTTCTATCTGTGTAAATCTATTAAAAATACTTGTTGTTCTTGTGTTGTTTGAAATCTTACCTTGTGTTGAAGTGATTCCAAAAGACACTGAGAGAGCAGCACAAAAAGAGAGAGCGTCAGATATATGATTTTAGTATTAAGCAGTAGAGAGTGTAAGCATTTTATTTTTGTTAGTGTTAGCCCTCACATCCAATTAACATTCATGCACCAGATTAGTTTGTATTTTGTTTTAAACAAATAAAGTATAAATCCATCTCACATTTAAGAGTCAAAATATTGTGTTAGTGAGCAGTAAAGTTTAGTATAGCAGAGCTATTTTGACGATGGTTAAAGAATTTTGACTCGAAACAAATGGTATTTACAGCAGAGAATAATATATAATTGGAACTTAATTGCATTATTGACTGGGTCACAAACATATTGAGAACCACTGAATGGTTAACAGTGAGGGGTGACAGAAATTACTTGTTGTTTTACCTTTCGTTGAACGACTCTTGTTTGGCATAGTTTTGCAGACTGCCCTCTTCAATGAGGAATTTCATTCTTTCAAAGAATGATGCAGTGATCGCGGGCGGCTGCTTCCTCAGGAGGATGTCAATGGGCTTTGGAGCGGAGACGCAAAGCTGATTTGAGCGGCAAATGTGGTTTGAGCAGCACTCGGGATCTTCGCAGTCAACTAAGCCATCTGGAGATGTAAAAATTTTAATTGCAGAGTACCGAAAAATAACCCTTGCAAAATTGACCTTTGTCATTGTCCTTTCCATCATTGCAATTGCTCTCAAGAGCGACACTGCAGTCGGCGCCATCCCAGCCATCATAGCACTTGCACTCCCAGTCGCCGTCAGGGTTAACTTTGCACTGACCGTGACTTGTGCAGCCACTCGGACAACCCTCCAGAGTGCAGTGCCGACCATTCCAACCAGTGACACACAAGCAGGTTCCGTTTTTGCATTGGCCATGGTCGGAGCATCTGAAAATAAATTATTAATTTTTAGTTATTCTTAAGAATTATTATTCAAATTTTATGTTTATTTAATTGATTTTTAATCTCTTTGAATTATTGGAATCAAAATGTAATTATTACCTTGGGTCACACTGCTTGAGTCCACAGTAGTCTCCAGCCCAACCTGGATCACAGGCACAAGCGTCACCTTCGCAATGGCCATGAGGTCCGCAGTCCAGGTCACACATTTCTGAATAAAGTATTCGTATTTAGAGTCATTCAAAAAATTTCATTTGAAAATTCACCTTTAGAGCAATCGTCTCCAATCCAAGGCGCATCACAAGTGCACTTCTGCGCCTCCAAATCAAATTTGCCATGGCCGTTACAGTCTGGGAGGCACATAATGGCATCATCATCAGTGGTGCTACAGTCAGCGCCTTTCCAACCCTTCTTGCAAATGCAAGCGCCCTCGACACAAAAACCGTGGCCAGAACAAGTAGGATGCGGACAATCAACTAAAATTAAGATTTGAACATTAAAATCAATCTCCAAGTTTATTGCAATGAAAGTAAAATATTTATATTGTTTTATATTTGCATTTATAATTTTTGATTTTAAAATAATATTATATTAATATTAAAAATTAAATAAAAAAAGTAAAAAATTACAAAATTAAATGTGGATTCAGTATCTTTATGAAAAATTTTAGTGGAACGAGACACACCTTCCTCGCAGAATTTGCCTTTGAAGCCACGAACACACTCGCACTTGCCATTAGTGCAGTGGCCGTGACCGTTGCAATCAGGCACTTCGCACTCGTCATGCCTAAGACTGCACTCCTTCCCTTTCCAACCAGGGTTGCATTGACACTCCCCATTAATGTATTCACCCCTTTGACTACACAGGACCGGACAAACACCTGTCAAACACACAAACATCGTGTTATTGTTGACCCAGAACAGAAATCGACAAGAGACACATGTAATATAAACAACCGCCAGAAGTTAGATATTAAATTAAATATATAAATATAAACATACTATCACTGCAGTCTTCTCCTCCAAAGCCGGGGTTGCACTTGCAGTGTCCTAGGAGGCACTCGCCTTTTCCACTGCACCCATTTGGACAGCTCTCAGTCATGTCCTCAGCGACGGCGGCAATGAAAGAGATATCCTGTGGGTCGCCGTCATCGTTGTAAAGTGACAGGAACCAGTGGCCTTGCTCCATGTAGTGAGTAACCTCTTTCTTGACATTCGTCTAAATTTATTTCAAATTTAATTACAAATTATTAACGCAGAAAAATTTGGCACTTACTGCTGAGGCTCGGGTGGTTCTTGCTTTGAATCCACTGAGCACTTCAATGAAGTCGTATTGCGTGTGAGTAGGCAGAGCGTTGCGCCGGGCATAGACGCCTATGCTGGCGCCCCTGGGGATGTTGTAATCAAACTTGATGTATGCAGCCTCAGACTGGTAGAACTGCATGTTCCAGTAGCCGTATTGAGGAATGGTCTGGGACAATTTCTGGCCTAGTGATATTTGAGAGAAAGTAGTGCCGTCTGGGGGGAATGTCCGTGCCGGGAAGGTTTTTCCTCCTGAAAAATGGATTAAAAGTTAAAATTTGATATAGTTAATTCTAAATTTTTTATTATTTAAATTAATTAACTGCCCACATGAAATTAATTTTTATTAAATTTGATTAAGTTTTCATTAATAATTTTTTTAAACATGAATCCCATAAAATATCATATTCCTTAATTAATTGAAAGCAGATTTGATTTCAAAGCATATAAGCATTAAAAGCCAATTGTATTTTTCCATAAAATTATTTGACTTGATAAAATAGTGTAGTTTTTTATTAACTCCTATAAACAATGATAAGTTAACTATATTAACTTTTATATCCATCAGTTATTAAGTTAGTTACACACATTTTTAAATGCTAGTAACTAAAGTAACACTTAAAAGTACATTAAAAAATGTGGGTCTGATTTGCATAAAAAATTTTATATTAGTTATGAGAAAATGAAATATTAAGAAGATATAATAATTTGAGAGCTAAAGACAGGAGAAAGCCATAAGCATGCAGCCGATAAATACTAAATTTATAAAAAGCAAGCAACTTATTGGAGCTAAATCTGATAATTTTGGGGGAACCATTTGACATCCAAATTTTAATTCGGCAGCGTAGCAGCGGCAGCACAGCATAGGAATTAGTAGTAGTTTGCGTGTAGGTGTGTGAAATCACATCCTGCAGCCAGCCAGCCACATTCAGCGACATACGCCTCACCTTCGAGGATGAGAACCACAGGTGGCGGCGGCGTGGGGCAAGTTACAATGGGGGTGCTGGTCGAGCTCTCGATCTCGACGCTGCTTTCAGTGATTATGGTCGTTTCTTCCTCAATCGTGGTGCTCTCGACCGTCGTCGCCTCCACCTCCTCAAAAGTTGTGCCCTCGGACGAAAAGTTGTCAGGGGCGGCCGAAGAAGAAGTTAGCAACTCCAACAACGGGGTGGTGCTCGACCACTCGTCAGGGGTGCTTTCTAAACAAGGGCAGTTGCACTGACACTGCGGCTTCAAAGTGGGGTTAGACAGGCTGCTAGTCACAGTAGCATGCTGCATAGCGGAGGCGTCCAGGGTGTGATTAGGGGTGGAGGCGGACGGGACAGCGACAGACAAGACGTACAAATGCTCCGGCTCAGCGTTCTCATCGTCCTCAGTGGCGATCGTCACATTCACAAGCACACGTTTGGCGTGCTGAGGGCGCTCGGCCGAGGAAGCAAAGGTGGAAGAAGTTGTGTTAGCGGCGTCGGCCACACTCAGGGTTAGATTTGCATGCGGCAGCACTCGGTTGTCCAGCCGGTTTTCGTCCGGGCTGGCGCTCTCGGTTGTGTGCAGGATGAAGCCGCTGCCCAACTCGGCGTCCAGCTGCTTCTGGGTCATGGCGTCCTCCACGGCAAGCACGGCGGCGTGCTGCTGGTGGTGCGTGGCGGCCGAGACGAGCGGCTGCGGCGGCGCCACGCTCTCGAAGGGCACCGTCTCGGCGCCACTGCCCTCCTCTTGGAGGTCATACTCGTCATGCAAAGTGGTTAGGGGCTCATGCAACAAGTCTACGTGCTCAACAACGGATCTACGAACGCGCAACGGGGACAAATCAGCGGACGCTTTACCTCCTCCGGCCGCCGGCCGAGATCTGCTGGTGGACGAAGTTCGGTTGTCGCCCTTGGCCTGGTAACTCGCGTCCGAGGTCTGGTCGCCCACAAACACGGTGCATGCGGCCGCGCTCTGATATGACCAATTCAGCAGGTTGGTGGCTGCAAAGACAACAAACACAAACAAAAATCACACAACAGTCAAACAACAAAGTTTTGAAAAAAAAAAAAAATAGTTCCAGAGTATCACATTTATTTACCAAAAATTTAATTTATTAAAATATTTCAGACAAATAATTTGTGAAACAGATTTGAAAACAACACGCTTTTAAAGAAATTGACAAATGTTTACTACGGAGACACTAATGGTCTGTCATTCAAATCCAACTGAATTAATATTCAACTCACCGAACATGTATGTGAGAGCTGCAGTCAACACAACACACAAAATGATGAAGACTATGGCTGTACATTTCCACGAGCATTTGCTGGCGAGTCCCTTGCGGAATTGGAACGACCGCGACGACTGCGGGAAGTGACTCGAGTTTGGCCTGCGCAGGTTATTCCGCACCGGCAGGACGGGCACTCCGCCGCCCGGGCCGAATTGCAACCTGTAACTGAAACGCAGATTGTGTCAGCAGTGGTTTGCGGAAGAGAAACGTGCGCGTGTGTGTCCCGAGGGCACCGCGAAATGGAAACTCACCTGTCTGTGCTCTTGTGGTCGCCCTTGGTGGGGCTGCTACAAGACGAGTTTGACTTGTAATCCATTGGTGACGTCTTTGGTATGTCTGAAAGCGGAAACAGGAGTTGGATTAATTAAGCATGAAAATAGATTATAATCTTGTAAAATAATTTTTAGGTCTTCGGAAACTTTTAAATCGGCAGTTTCAAACGTTTAACTTGCATGCCACTTTTTTTTAGTTGAAAAGTGTTCCATCGCTATCGAGTTAGCGAAAAGAGCGAACAGTTGAAGCAGCACGCTCGTCACGTAAGCGCCGCGGGTTGCCTAAGCACTCACCTGTGGGTATGTACACGTTACCGGACGGAGTGCGAACCAGGCATGAGGGTTCAAAGTCACCGTCCCTGATATCAGAAGCAGTAAGGCCAGTGGTGCTTCGGCCGTTGAGGCGATTCATCGAAGGTTGATTTCTTGGGGGCACATCTGGGGGGTGATGAATGTTGTCGAGGAATCCACCTGGAACACACACAAGCAGCGAATGTTATTTTTCAGCTCAAGTAGCGTTTAATCGCACGAACGGAGCCAAGTTTGCATGTTAAACATGAAAACAAGTTGGTCTCTTTCGCTTGTTTGGGAAGGAAAAATGGAGGAAAGAGAGAGGCGCGTGTAACACGCGTATTGTATTTATGAAAAAAAAAAAAAAAAACGCTGCAAGTCAATTACGCGGCTGACTTGGCGTGGGCGTTGTTCGTCTCGATTTACGTGCGCAGCTGGTGAAAAATTGGGAGCTTTCTTTTTTTTTAAATGAGCAAAGTTTTGGCGCAAACACACGCTTATTTACACTTTTCCACCGTCTCTGTGAAAACAAATGAAATCGCGTAATTGGAAAATATTCTCGTGCAGTGGCGTGGGCCCTCCCCGGTGGAATAAAAGCAGATCGACTGCCTCTATTTTTCTTCCGTGGCTGCGGCGAGCGAGATAATGTGCGTGCAAAAGGAGCCACCGCCGTAATCATGCAAATGGCTTTCGCACTGAAAGAGAGAAATTGGAGACACAGATGTGTTATTTGTCTCCTTCGCTCAAATTATTTTCCCGCCCTTGCTCACCGTGGCTAATTTAGGCGAAAAGATTTTTTCCAATATCGACAGGGGTTTCCCCGACAGACGGGAATAAACGAGGGCCCGTTTTTTACTTTGAGTGCTTCGGCGGTAAATTCAATTTGCATTTCACTGTTTCGTTGGTGCGGCTCAAATTTGTTGAGCTGATTTTAATTAAAAATTTTAGCGGCCGGATCAAAAAATGGGTAAAAAGCAAAGCTCATCAAGCGTTATGTTTTCGCTGGCAACATTGAAACGCTTTTTAATGACCACTTCAGAAAAGTTGTGTGCTCTCAGCTCGCTATCCGCTGGCATTAGCGAGCAAGCGAGCCCAACGGGCGAGCGAGACAGACGGACAACGGCCCACCAATTATGGCTGCCTATTAGCCGGAGCGCTGGCTAAAATAATTTCATACGCTTTTTGGTCGCACCCGGATTCACTCGTGCTCGCAATTTTCATAAAACAGAAAATAATTGGTGGCACTCGCTTTGTTGTGCACTCTGCAAAAAAGCGGCGAATATGTAAAACGATATGTTCTGTGAAAATAATGGATCGCGAACCCAGGCTCTTTTGGCTTGCACATTGTTCAACCCAGTTAGGGCGAAATAAAAATACTCATTTACACAAATTGAAAAGTATTTTTTGCTGGCACAATAATTTGCACAAAGAGAGAGAGAAAACAAGTGGAAAATACAACTTTGGCCAAAATAGCGTCCAATATTAATAGGTGAATTGTTTTGTAAGCGTTTTTATTTATTTTAAACCTATGATGAATACTTTGTTAATTCATGGGTATGACATAAATCATCAATTTTTAGAAATGAATTTTCCTTTTCAATTAGATACATTTTTAAATTTATAAAACAAAATGATTAAATGCAAAATTTTTAAAATTTATATTTATTCTAAATATTGAAATATTATTATTTTTGATAATTTTATTGCTTGTATTTTTTTATTTCTGATTTTACTTTCAAGCCTGTATTCGTGCGACTCTCATCACGTTGGCGAGCGAGTTATCACGGCGTATAAATTTTATGCATTCGGAGAGGCACAATTTTGAAGAACAAACAGGGAAAAAGCTGGCAGCAAACGAGAGATAAAAGCGGCCGTAAAGCGCGACGCGCCGGGGCGGATTCTACCGACTCGCACGCGCGCACATTTATTTTTACTTCTAAATTAAATTTGCATCCAGCGCCGTAAAATCCGAACCCTTAATGCGGCAAATTCGCGAGATTTGGCCGTTAAAGCGAAGCCATTTTTTGCGCTCGGCGACTGCCGCGAAGCGAAAACGAGCCGCCGCCAAGCGTGAATTTCCTGCTCCTTGCGATAGGCTGAAATTATTAAGCGGAGGCGGAGAGAAAACGCGCGTTCGCATGTATGTATGATTCTCACTGGGCCATTTTTATATACGCAGCCATAAATTATATCTCGAATGCCTTTTTAATTATACATTCCCGAGCACCGCGTCTCGGCTGCCCACTTCTTATCTCATCTCTTACGCATACAGACAATGACACATCCTGCAGCACTGGTGATATAATAAATTTCAAAAGTTTTAATAACACGGTGAGGAGTGACGGGCGTGACGATGGGGAAGCTCGCGGCCTCGAATTATTATTTATGAGCCGAGCAGGTGCCGGCGTGGCGATCTAATTTTTTCCTCTCTTTTGCCCTTGTTTGGCGCGTTAACTCACGCAACCCTTTCCTTTCTCAAAAGAATTTTATAAAACTCTCGATTTTGCGTGCCGAGACACACAAAGAGAGGAGAAAATGACACACGCTGTGCCGCCAAGCGAGGTGTGACAAAAAATAAATGCGAGTGTGGGTAATAACGCTTGCGATTTTGATGGATGCACCTTTGGCATGACTTGCTTTTACGGCGAACGCGCCAAGCAACAATGGAAAATTGCCGCGCATCAGCGACAGGAAATGGAAGAGAATTATTCGGGTCTGGTTTGGAGAGCGAAAGCGAAAAAAACATTGGCACTTCGCACGCACACCTTGGGAATTTTTTGCCCCTTTATTGACAACTTTTGCTTGTCGATAAAAATTCAGATTCTCACAGAGTTGAAAAATTTCTAGATCCATAGGTAAGAGGTTTCGTTATTTAATAATAAGACAATCTTTTATTATTTTCATTTTAGGGCTTTGATGGTGAGAGACACGAACCGTATTGACGGTCTCTGCAATCGCTTTTTTTTACAGTTTATGTGCGATTGACGTAACTGACCGACCCAAGCTCTATATCTGTCTGACGTTTCACACATGGCCCGTCTCTCTTGCGGCCTGCTTTGATGCCACGGAGACTGACTCGTCGTCCTTGTCGCGAAACCCTCGGCCTGAAATTCTTCCTGCGAATGCCGCATTTGAACCAGAGCGCCGAGGGCCGAACGGAAACTTTTATCGAAAAAAGCACTCTCTCGCACGCTAGAGATGCATCTCGTCAGAGAGGGTGTTTTTGCACGCGCGCAATCGCACGGGATTATGCATTGTGGGAATAAACGCGCGCGCCTTATAATGGATAAGTCTCGTCAAGACATTACTCAGCCGGAGGAAAATCGATCCGAGCCACCGACACACGAAATTAGGGAAAATGATGCAGCAGCGGGGGAGTGTCGGGCTTGGAAATTGAATTTTTCATCGGCAGCAAAATACATGTACGGCTCTTTTCACGCGCGAAAATTTATTCTAGCATTATATTGAACGTCAGCATATGTGACATTTGTAGAAAAGCGTTGAATTTCCGCCGTGTGTCGCACCGGAGTCAGATTTGTCTCGCTTGGATTTTGATTGAGCACTTGTTTGGCGCAAATCAATACAGGTAAATAAATTCACAGCAAAATGCTCATATTTTATATCAATTTGAGATGTGAAAAATGCGTTCACTCACAATAAACGTGGAAAAATTGCAAAGATAATAATAATAATTTTAGATTTATCATTTTTGCAGGACATTTTTTAGTCGTTAACAAAATTCTTCTATTTTGGCTCGGCCTGCGACTTTTGGGAAAAAATAAGGCCCATTAATAATCCTATTTTGATGCAGTGGCAGACGCACTCGGCACTCATTTAAAATGTACCCCAGGCGCGATCGCGCAAAAACGCGCGAGTGCACTGCGCCACTTTTGTTGTGGGGGCAAAAACGGCGAGAAATAAATAAATAAATCGCGGGCAGGCGCGCGCTCCTTCCTTTCGCTAATACAAAACAATACCAGCAGGCAGGCATATTTCAAATTTCGCCCCGGCTGCGAGCGAGCAAGAAAAAAGAAACTGGCACTGCAGTCGACGTTTTTTCTTCCTCTCGCCCCGCCATTATAAATAAAGCGGGCAACTTTTCCGCAGAAAGCTGCCGCCGCCGCCGCCTTTTTCCGCGTCCTTTCCGCAGTCTGGCCTGCTAATTAAAAGGTCGACCACGTAATCGCGAGTGACACCTTCAACATTTATCAAGATTACGTTGGCGGAATACGTTGGCCGCGTGAGCGCGCGCGACCATTAATCCACATTATTCGTTCGCCGCTGCACCGGTGACGTCACGACGGCTGCAATCTTGCCCTCCGCCGCCAACCAGTCGCGGCCAACCTTGTTATTATTAATAATAATCATAATCCGACGCATGCGGAACGTTCTATTTAATTAGGCGTGCGTCTGTGTAATTAATTAATTAGTGCCTCGAGTGAGAGGATCCAAGTCTGCTCCCGGCTCTGAGTGCAAATGCAAACCTATGTAACGTGTACTTCGACTGCCGAACACATACATTACGTGTATGTTTGCTTTAATCAGCGAACGATGTCTCTCTAATTACAAACGCCAAACGCGATTAGCTGATGCGATGGTAATAATTAATAATTGCGCACAGAGAGCATGTGTGCATTCAGCGTATTTGCATGCAATTCATACAGCGTTGAATAGACGCAGGCTCTTTTTTCATAGATTGAGGAAACAGTAATACTTTAAATATTACCAAATAAAATTACATTTTACATTAAAAAAATTATGTGTTGTGTGTTTAGTAAGGAATAAGAAAATTTTTGTACAAAAAAAGCTATAAATCATATAAATGAATTAACTTTTCAAACATGATTTTATGTAATAAAATTTTTTGTATATAACTAAAATGTTTTATTTATTTTGTTTTTATTAAAAAACTATATTTAAATAAACAAATGTGGTCATTTAGAAAACTTTATTAAAAATCTTTGCTACTTAATTTCAAAATATTTGATTATTGTTTCCAAACCTCAGTACTTAGTTATAAATTACAATTAATAATGAACAATAATTTAATCCTTTTTTATTGAGACTTGAGACAAACTTTAATTTTCTTTATCAGCAGTGAATAAACATACTAAAAACAAGGAAAACTAGTTTATTGATTGGCATTTAAATATTATCGTAGAAAATCTAAAAATTTTCAC